TTTGTGAGGGTTCATCAAGGCTGCGAAGGTGACTCACTGAAAATGGGCAGGGAGCTGCTGTGCAAAATCCCCGGGGGAGAAAGATGGAGGGCGGCGAGGTACTGAGCGTCAGCTGTCAGCCAGGCCCTCGTCAGCCTGCTGGGACTGTCTGGACACCCTCCTTCCTTCATAGCCCTGCGTCCTCTGCAAAGCTGCTTAACGGTGTTTTGGTTTACTCATTTTGATAGTTCTTTCACCTGTCAGAGCAGGAAACAATTTCCGAACAACCCACAAATAAGTGAGGAGCATCTGCGAGCTGCAGGGTCTGGGGATGCGATCTCAGGAGTGGTTGTCTGAAGCTGCAAGGGGCTGGGTGCAGGGAGAATGGGCTCCGAGGCACAAACTCCAACACCCAGAGGTGGATGCCAGGTCCGAGGAAACTCTCCACTGGGTGGAGGCTGCTCTGGGGGCCCTCTGCCCCCCCGTGTCTGCCTGCCCCAGAGGCGGTCTCGGCCTCTGTGCCCTCAGGATGTTCCTAGCCCAGGATTTGATTCTTTCCACCACTAACACAACCCACACCTCAGGGCTGAACACGAAGAAAGGAAATTTAATTTTCGTTGAGCATGGCCTCTACTCCCAGCAGCCACTTTGAAGCCTTCCTGTATATACTGTTCTCATCAGGGTGATCACAATCCAGGAAGTTGATTCAAGTATTCCTCTCTTTGAAATGGGGACCTGGTTTTCCAAGAGGCCCAGAAATGAGCTTGTGACCGCGTGCACACTAGGTGTATCAGGGTGCAGATTGGGATTAATGTGTATTTGATTCAAAATCCATGCTTTTTTTTCATGAAAAGGGAATCAAATAGAAGATAAGTCTTGAGTGGGTTCAGGGTTCCTGAATGTGGTTCCCAGCAGAGCTGGCTCAAGGTCTTGGGAGATCTTACCAAAGCGATCTTACTCCGAAGAGAGGGTGAGCTGGCTTGGTGGGGACAGACAGCCAGGGCGGGGGTGGCCTGGTGGTCACACTTACTGCAATAGCTTCAGCTTGACTTTCTTCCGGAGGGAGAGCCTTAGGTGCAGACAGCGGCAGCAAGGGGCTTTTCAGGGCACTGCTCAGCTGCCTCCAAACAGATTTATTTTCTCTTCTCTTGCAGTGATACCAGGGATGTGTTGTCCCCTTTGCGCACTCGTGCTCATGCGTGCATTCATGTGTGCGTGCGTGTGCGCGTGTGTGAGAGTGAATTTCTACACATCAACACTTACCCGTTTTTATTTACTTCCAAGTAGATGGAGGCACGAGCCAAAAAACAGCTGCTTGCCTCATGGCTGTTAACTGCCTGGAGAACAGCATTTAAATCTGACAGGGTCTGTTCTCAGCACGAGCTCCACAAAGCCGGTCAAGAAGACGTCTACTCTTCAAGTGAGACGATTTTCTGTGGAAATCACGTTGTGCTCCGGGGCGTGGTCATCCTAGCCTGGTTTACCCGTTCCCTCGCATTCTGGGAGAGACGAGGAGAGACCTACTCGTGCTCATGAGCACGCCGAGACCTGAGGGATCTCTGTCTCTTCTGCTGCACCCAATTTCTAAAGGAATTTAATCATTTAAGGGAAAGTACCAACAAGAGGACCACTCTTCTACAGTTTCGCTGGGATTTTTTATTTGCATTGTCGAAAACCTACTCCATGGTGGGCGTGTGATTTTAAAAGCAGAGGCTCCTCTATCTTGAAGCTGGGTGAGACCCCGAGTCTCCTTCTTAGGTTGAATGGCTATCGCTCAGCCCGGGTCTGGCTCAGAGGAGGGTCTCGGGGCACGGCTTCTGTGAGATGAATGAATGAACGGACGGTGCGCGTACTTCTTCTCACTCTGACAGTCATGAGTGATCTAGTCATAGGAGTGAGTAGAAATTCCTGGCAATACTGTCACAGAAGGTTGAGATGCTTTGGCAAAGGAGGCAAGTGACATCAGGAATGTTTGTATTTTAATTATGGCTTTTGGTAATTGATGAATTTACATAGCAGCAAATTTTTGAAAAGGTACTGTGGCCCACCTACACTCCTCCTGGGTGTCAGGGACACGGGCAGAGAGCAATGGCTCAAGTGAGTGGCCACAGGGCTGGGTAGGTGGAGAAGTTTTGGAAATGATCTCTTGTGGAGGACATGAAAACCAGATGGACTCTATAATCTAAGGTAACTCTTGGGAATGTTTCCTTTCCCCTGAATCCCTTTCCCCACAACCTTACCTTCTGTAAGGTGATACAATCAGTGGCTGAGTCCTGTTTCAGGCCACTAAAGACCGTACCCTCGGTTCAGGGTAAATCTCTCTACGCTCAGCTTCCTTATCTGGAGGACAGCAAGGTGCTGACACCACCACGGGGCATAGCAGAGCCGTGATAGGTATCTAAGGTCATCGGGGGCTATGTGGCCTCTTCCCACCGTTCAGATTCTGGCTGAAAACTGGAGCAGAAGGGCCTGATACCCCTTCTGAGAGAGGGTGGTATAGAAATGATGTAGGGCCCCTAAATGACACTCCTGACCGGCTAGATGCCTGACACGCCGGGTTTGTGTTCCCCAGAATGGAAGAATGAAGTATAGGGAAAAATGGAGGTTAGAGTAGGAAATATTTTATAGAGGAGAAAGATATAGCTCCTGAGAGGCAGAAGGGGGCCCAAAAGCGGGTTGTCAAAGACCCCATTTCTCAGGGGAAATTTTATAGAGCACGACCATGTGGGTACAACTTGGGTTACAGCTGTGATCAACCAATAAGATTATAAGTCCAGTCCCTTAGGTAAATTGATCCAATGGGGAAGCAGGTCACGTCACAAGTATACATGGAAGGAACAAAGAACTTTTTAGGAAGAGATGAGTCCGAGGGTCTTGGTTACCCACTGAGGTGACTGATGTCTAACTAGACTTTATTAGATCAGGTGTTACCACTTATCTGAGGCCTGGTCATTTTGTCTTTACCTTGAGGCCTGGCCTCCATAATGTGTTCTTACCTTTGTGTTGGCTCTCTGGAGGGCCCAGCCCTTGTGACTGCCTATACCATTTCCGTCTAGCTTAGCTGTCTGTAACAAGGGGAAGGGCTGCCGAGCTCCCCACGCAGGGACCACTTTAATACCCTCTGCAGTCCAGCTCGCCGCGCCCCAGCTAGTCGGCAAAGGGAGAGCACTAGTGAAGGGTGTTCAGCAGCCACATTCTGGGGAGTGAAGGGCTCAGCGTGCGAAGACACCCTGCTCTTCCCTCCTGTTTTGTCCTTCCTCAGGGAGGTGAAGGTGTCGCACTAGAGCCATTCAGCCAAACCCAGGGGCCTATGCGAGGCTGTGGGGAGATGGCCCCTGCCTTCTGCTGGTCTCCCCAAGGCCTGGTATCCACACAGCCAGACTGTGGAGTCTTCTAGGATCCTGGAAGTACTCTCCTCCCTCGGGGTAAAAAGGTGGGTGCTTGAGGTTGGAGGTTTGCTCGTCCATGGGGACGCTTTGTCCTAGGGATCTCTGGGAAGGGGAGGGGTGCAATTGGGGGGTCCCAGCCCGCAGCCCTCAGAAGCCAAAGGAGAATGGGGTGGGAAGAGGAAGGTAACTGCACCTCATCCCAGTGCTCTGAGGCCCAGAGGGAGCCCCAGCACTTCCCATGGCTCCCTGTGCAGGGACTGCCCAGTGGGCTGCTGGGCCCAGGGCTGAGGGTCCCACAGAAGGGGCTAGGAGAAAACTGAGCACTGTCTGCACGTATCCTCACACTTCACGTACTCAGAAATAATTACACGAACAGAGGCCACTGGGCTAGAGGAAATAAACGGCATCTACCACTTCAAGAGGTCCTCATCACCTATTGCTCTTCCCTGTGTCCCTACCACAAGAGGGCAGGTGATATCTCAGACACCGTCTGGAAGGCACCACCACCCGCTGCTAACTTGTGGCTGTGGGTGTGGGACAGCTGTGTCCTGGCAACTAAACACACACATCTAGATCACTGCACTCATTAAAAAGTCTTTAAAGATACAGAGAGATTGCTGAAGGCAAAAACAAACAAACAAACAAACATCCCTTATTTGTATGTCAAGGCTTGAAAGCAGACACTCTTTGTGTGCATTGATAGTGGCATAAGAAAAGCCAGCATAGGGGTTTAGAGAGGGGTTTCTGGACCCAGACTATGGGGTTGACTCTCCACTCTGCTACTTTCTACCTGTTTGGCAATGGGAAATAACTTAGGGCTAAGGACAGTGCGTGTTGTTGGCAGTCAGGGTGATTACGATGATCAGGGTCTTGGAACAGCACCTGGCACATAGCAAATGCTCCATAAATGCTAGCTCCTTCTTCAATCACAGTCCCCTTACACTCATGAGAACAATCTGAGGTATACCAGCTAGCCCGGCAAGCTCCAGGAAGCAAATACCAAATCCTGCGAGAAAGCAAACAGCTCACAGCTTCTCTGTGACTGGGAATTCGAAGGACCTCCCAAGACAATAATGCGTGGCCTAGTCCTTGGGTCAATACAGAAACCTGAAAAGAGAACATTTCTTGGCCCAAGGTCTACCTGTGCCCCCGCTGGTGGCTCACATGGGAGCTGGGTGGGTACAACCCCGCAGACTGGTATATTTTGGTCTGGATGACTTGCATTAGCTGCTTGCTGTGCTCACGTAAGCTATGTTTCCCCCCTTCCGTTCATTTCTAAGATCCAACCTTTTTTCCTTTTATTTGCCAGGGAACATTTCCAGACAGAATGCCCTGTCATCGTTTAAAGTAACAATAGGATACATTTCAAGGCAACAGTCATTCTAAATGAAAATGACACAAATATAGAGACAGTTTCAGATGGCGAAAACAAAACCATAAAGCCGTCATTCCTTAGCCACAGTTGTGTGGTCCCATCGGTCTCTCTGCTTCATTCTCCCATCCATTAAAACATTCCCAGAGTCAGTGGGGCTTGACCGGTGAACATGTTAACTTCTACACTAACTCCTAAAACACGGTATTTCGTGTTTACCAACTCAGAAGGTTTGGATTAAATCATATATGAACACTTGCCTGCTTTGGTAGCCGGAGTTTTGGATGATGAATATATAAGAGCCGTTGGATAGGTCACACCTTTTTTGGGCTTGCTTTCTGCAAAAGAGAGGGAGAAAAGGAGATTTGTTCCTAGAGCTGGAGATTTTAGATGGCCCTGTACTGATAAGATGATTCACTCCTTTCAATTTATCTCTCTCGAGTTCAATAAAATCAGACTCCTTTGGAATGAGTTGTTGACTACAATAAGAAAGTCAAGGCTTGTAGGTAGATGTTTTCCCAGAGAGCCTGTGTTTTATTAATATTTGAATGGAAATGATAAAATCTCCCTGACTCTGAGCCCTGGAACATTAGCAGCCCTATTTCACTCCTGTGGCTTTGAATGTTTAACGGCTGCAGTAGCTGAACCCGAAATTTCTGTGCCCTCTGGTAGGTGACAGAGTTCCCAGGCAGGCCTTGTTATGTGAGCATGGCTCCAGGTCGCTGCCAGAGATCCGTCTGAATTCTACAGCAGCAGAGAAGCCTGGAAGTAGTCTCAGAGCCATCAGCATGAAAAATAACCACTCGTAGCTGGGACTGGTGGTGCACGCCCGTGATCCCAGCACTTGGGAGGTTGAGATAAGAGGACCACTGCAAGTTTAAGGCCAGCCTGGACTACACCGCAAGATCTTATCTCAAAAAAAAAAAAATAAATAAATAAAGAAAAGAAAAAGAAAATACCTTGAGAGAGGCTTTCGATGTAGGCAAGGAGGAGGAACAGTAATGTCTACCAAGAAAACTGCGGCGGCATAAAAAGTAGAGAGGCAGTGAGTGAAGCTGGATAAGCAGGCACCTAGGCTGGCAGGATGGCAAATTGCTTGAGAAAGTGGCTGCCAGTGAAGTTGTCTGACCGGAAGACATGCCTTAAATTCCACTGTAGGAACCGCTGTCCCTAATTAAAGGGCAAGGGCCTGTGGAAAGTAGCAAGTGCCCTAAAGGCAAAAAATTGTCTCCGTTGGGAGCCGTTATATTTCCAGGGCCTCACAAGCATCTGGCTCACGTTCTCCAGTTTTTACATGGAATGATGAAAGCCTTCAGCCCTCAAGCGGTGGGGACACGGTTAGAGGATGGACTGCTGAGGAGCTGGGGAGGCTGTCCATGGAGGGTGTGTGGGGGATCTACAAACATCCTATGGACACAAGGGTTGTAGGGTCTGGGAAAGGACTGGGACTGCGGTAAGAAAAGCTAGGTTTCACTTCCTGTTTTATCTTTAATTGGTTGCTGCAGTCTCCAAGACCTATTTTCTTCAATCAGAAAAGTAACGACAGGGCCTCTACCTACTACAAAAAGTAATGGGAATTTGATGGGAAAAGAATATTTTGGAATTCTCTACCTATCTCTATCTGTCTGTCTTTCTACGTATCATCAGAGGTGGGATCAAAATAAACATGAATATTTAAAATGGTTATAGTAAAAGACACATGGCCATTAAGCCTCTTTTGAACACTCCTGCTCACTTCAAACGCACTTACTTCGTTATTCTTGTCACTCTTTGAAGCAGGGCTGGAAGTCCTGTTCATAGTGTCTTTACAATGTGTGATCAAAAGTATGGTGAACGCAAGTGTCCTCCAGTGGAAAGGCAGGCTTGTAAGACCAGTACAGAGTGTCCTCGCCCACCCTGTTCACCGGATCTATCACTGTGCGACCTGTGGCTCTTCCCCAAAGTCAAAATGAAAGGTAAACACTACCATATGAAGGACATGGAGGCAGTCACCACAAAAAGATTAAAGACCCCAAACTGGACTCCAGAACGGCTTCAGAAAATGGCAAGAATGATGGGGTCAGTGTGTTTGAAGCAAGGGCCAGTATTTCGGACGGGGTTATTCCAGTGTGCTTTTTAGTGCAAGAACCTGGATAAATGTTCACTGTACTTTTTGATCACACCTCATATATCCATAAAGATGCAAAAATTTAAGGTGTCTTCAAGTATGATCTACAAATGCCACTCAAAGACAAAATTAGGCAAAATGATAAAGAAGTTGTGGTTTTTCTATAAAATGGAATATTACTCAGCCATAAAGAGCGAGAGAATAGATTCATTCATAGGAAAATGGATACATATTGAAGATATACTCCTAAGTGAAATAAATAAGTCCCACATGTGTAAATACCAAATAGTTTCCCTGGTGTGAATATTCTGCAACAATGCATAAGATTCTACTAAGATTACTGACATTTAGAAATGGGAGGAAAGGAGCTAAAGGTGTAGGGAAGGTGTGATACGTAGGGGAAGAACAAAAAGGGAAAAGAAAAAAATGTGAGAGAATGAAAAGATGAAAATAAAGTGTTTGTAGATGGGGAGGGGAGGAGGGGGTGAAGGGAGGGCAGAGGTAAGGGGAAAAAATGAGAATCAAGACTTGCCATGTAAAGGTACATGATCCCAACAATGAATGTAACTGTACTGTATCCCTAAATGTACCAATAAACTCAATAAAAAAAAAAAAAAGAAGTACAAAATTAGGCAAAATGTTTGGGCTTGTTGGTGTTAGTTACTCCAGCTCTCACGCTAGGGACTAAGCTCTCAGACAAGTGCAGGCCCACTCTGGATAGACACTGATAGAGGCCGTTTCTGCGCCAAGAGAGCCCCATGGCTGGGGATCACACTTAGTGAACAGAAAAGGGGGAAGAAACACCATCTCCTTCTACTTCATATTCTTCTCCCAATTTAAACCCAATAGTTCCCTCTGTTCCTATTCCAAATTAAAAGGAGCATGAGCTCAGTTTAATGAAGTGTGGATCAAAGCACCCTGGGGCAGTACTAGGGGTCCCCCACCACCCTCACACCCTGGACTGTCCAGTGATCATATGACCAGAAAGGCACATTGATCTCCACCCATTCATCCCCGGGTCCCCAACACAGGTTAACTGAAGGGGCACAGTGACCTGTAAAAATCAGAAATAAAAACCTAGGGAAAGGTCATGGAGTCATTCTAGCCTTCAGGAGAGGATTCTGATACGATCCTGTTAGACTTGCTGGCCGAGAACCCCGGAATAATGGAGTGTTCCTTGGCCACAGCCCCATGAGGCAGTCTGCTAGCTCATCTCTTCAGAGGGGGCTCCCAGCCACTGCAGAAGCACAAATGTTTATTGTCATTGGCAAAAAACATTTTCAGTCAAATGTCCCTAGGTAAAATGAGGGGAGATGGCAGTTTGGACTTACAGGAAATAATCTCAGCAGATTGGTTTTAATTTTAAAAACCCAAAACATATCTGCTGTCATGGAATTAATCTTTTTTTTTTTTTAAGATTTATTGAAACTAGCTGGGTGTGGTGGTGCACGCCTGTAATCCCAGCACTTGGGAGGATGAGGCAGGAGGATTACTGTGAGTTCGAGACCAGCCTGGGCTACATAGTGAGTTCCAGGTCAGTCAACTACATAGTCAGCACTTGGGAGGATGAGGCAGGAGGATTACTGTGAGTTCGAGACCAGCCTGGGCTACATAGTGAGTTCCAGGTCAGTCTCAACTACATAGAGAGACCCTGTCTCAAAAAAAAAAAAAATATTTATTGAAACTTTGGCGGAATGCTTGGATTGCACACTGAGCCCTTGAGGTTGAAATGCTCTTGGTTAGCCAGGAGTTGCTTCGTAAAAAGCTACATGGGGATTATCTTTCTAGCTCAACATATTTGCATTCTAGACACTAGCATTTTCACGTAGCTGTGTTCTGAGTTCTTTGTTACAGGGCAAAGAGAGCTGCAGAACTGTGGTCAGTGCCCTTCCATCATCTGATGAAGAAACAAATCTAACTAGAGCGCAGCCTTTGGGTAGACCAAAGGAAACAGGGATTGTTCACTTTAAGAAGAATCCTCAAAGGTCTGTCTGTAGTTTTAGTACGACTCTGATGGACGGAGGATAGTAGAGGTTGGGGCTGAGGCCTAACTGTGCCAGAGAACCACCCAGATTGGAAAACCCTCTATGGTAGAAGACATTTTCTCTGCTTTCCATAGCTATCTGCCCAAAGCCTTGGGTATCTAGTCTTGGTGGGAGGCCAAGAAGTTTTGTTAGAATCTACTTTAAAGTTCCTTGGAAGCTCCTTAGAGAATATGGGGCATTCAGGTTCCAGGGAATGGAAGTTCAAGGTGGGCAGAGGACACAAACTTTATTGTAGACCTGTCAAAGCCTGAAGGGGTCCCACCGGCCAGGCTCAGATCTGAGGACCAACAACGGGAATGAGGCCATGGTAATAACAGATTATACTTTAAAAGACAACCCACTAGTCCACGGACCACATTTAAAAACTTACAGGTGGGCGAAAGAAAACTCTTCTTTATGTAGGAACGAGAGCTGCTGGAATGGGGAAGGAAGGCATAATTAGGGGAAAATTATAATTTTACAATTCAACCCTCTGTTTTTGTGGGTTCCAAATCTGTCGATTCAACTAACTCCAGATTGAAAATATTCAGAAGAAATTATGTCTGTACGGAAAATGTACATTTTTTGGGTCAGTACAGTTAACAATTATTTATATAACCTTTCGATTATGTTGGGCATTATAAGCAATTGAGAGATGAAAGTATAGGAGAGGATTATAAAGATTCCATGCAAGCATCGCATTTTGCATTAGAGACTTGAACACCCTGCAGATTTTAGTATCCAAGGAGGTTCTGGGCCAGTCTCTCATGATTCTGATGGGCTAGTACTCACGTAATACTTGCCACCACTAAGATGAGCAATGGCTGTTAAACATGTTAAGTGAAGTTTACGGGGAACAAGTTATTCTTGTGTTGTGAAGTGTCATCCTACAGATTACTCATTAATTACAAGTATCCTCACCCTGAGAAATAGGGGAAAGTATCCAAGTAACCAAATGTTTAGTATCACCAACAATGAGACAAGCTATTTTATGCCTCATGGTATGGCCACTGTGGTATAACACGATATATGTGCTATGATAGTACCTGTTCTTTTCAAAATACTTACTCAGAAGGGACAAAATGGGCATATTTTTTGGTTCAGATCGTAAGAAATAGCACCAGACAACTGTCCTGGGCATTAAAGATATCAGAGCCATTTGTGATCAAAAGAGGTAGCGTAGTGGGGAATTAAAAGAGACTAAATAGATATGACAACTAAAATGCAATTTATAATCTTTGATCAGATTGTGGCTCAAACAAGAAGAAAAAGAGGACATTATTACAAAGAATATTTTGGAATATGTGGGACACTGGAGGATTGAATTTAGGGACACTCTACCACTGAGCTACATCCTCAGCCCTTTCTATTTAAAAATTTTTGTTTGTTTGTTGAGACAGGGTCTCTATGTAGTTCAGGCTGGCCTTGGACTCATTATAGCCCAGGCTGGCCTTGAACTCATGGCAATCCTCCTGACTCAGCCTCCCAAGTGCTGGAATTACAGGCACATGCCACTGTGCCCAGCATATTTTTTAAAATTTTAAATCAAATTTTGAGACAGAGTCTCACTAAGATACCCAGATGATACTCAAACTTGCAATTCTCCTGCTTTACCCTCCTTACTCTTTATTAGACAGTATTCCTGTATTGATGTTAACTGTTAGGTGCAGTATTAGTATTGCTGTTACTTAGGGAAATGCTCATGTGCCTACAGGATGTGTGCCGAAGTTTTTAGATATAAAGTGTCATGGTGCACACAGCTTCCTTTCCTATGGTTCAGAGGAGAGTTTAGTAGATGATAGATAGGTAGGTAAAACAGATGTGACAAAATTTAACAATTAGTGAATCTAGATGTGAGAAACAAGGATGTTCATCAAACTGTTCTTTAATTTTTATGCAAATATAAAAATTTCAGAACGTAAGATTGGGCTGGAGAAAGTCACAGAAACAGAAGGATGAGGCCAGGGATTTTGCTCAGTGGTTCCACCGCCGGCCCTTGCAAGTGCAAGTGCAAGGACCCGAGTTCGATCCCCGAACCCCCCCCAAAACAAAAACAAAAACAACAGAAACAGAAGGAGGTGGGAAAGAGGGTCGTGATAGTATAAAAATATCGGGTTATCTTTTAATTGTGAAGTCATACCACGGTGGCCTTAGATGAATGATGCTATCTTTTTGAAAGGGGTGGAGGAAGACTGACCATAGTGAGTAAAGACGAAAATGATGGTCTACAAAAACTCTTACAAAGCTAGACCAGGAAAAACGATCAGATCGTGAAGCAATTAAACAAAAATTGAAAATGGCTAAAGTAAAATTGTGGCTCAGTTCTGTAGGATTTTTCTCAGCTATTAATTTACCAGGAACATCAGTGGAGGACCAAGAACATCTGGACATGGGGCACGTTTGGTCTAGCGAAAGGACTAGTTAAAAACCCAAGTTATTAAATTTAATTATTTTTATCCAAAGGTTGATTGTATTTATAGGTAGCCACAGTGTCTTTGAAATAATCCATTGGAGCCTTTTAATATTTTCAGAGTTGACTTTGTAGTGATTTACCATGTAATCACATTCACTGTTTCATGACCCTAATTATCAGAATTAATGCTTCACGTTTTTATGAAATAAAGTGGGACATAAATAAAAACTAACAGTACCCTCAAAGAGCACGCTTCACCCTGGGAGATCTCCCAGGCACCTGCGCATGGGCAGCCTTTCTCGGTGAGCAGCCGTACCTGAGACAATGAAGGATTCTCTCCATCGTGGTAGAGACACCGACTGGACGCCGTTGGAGTAACTGCCTTTGTAACTGGACTGTCCAGCCACTTTCTGAACAAGTATCTTCCCTCCTGAATTATCGAGCACACCACTGTGAGAAGAAAAAGAGTCTTGAAGAAAGTTCAGAGAGACTGCTTGAGGCCCACAGGCCATCAAACCAGCCTCCACCTTTATTCAAACGCAGGGAGGCGCCGAGGTGGAAGAGGGTTACCCCCAAGAATAGGGCCCCCCTCACTCAGCCTGGCCTCCGCCCTCCTCAGATCCTTTCCTTCTTACAAGCCCCGATTGTGAGTCAGTCTCTGCCATCGTGCCTTAGACTTCTATTTCCCTGGCTTTCTCCTCTCCAGCCCCCGTGTTGCCCCGGCTGGCCTTGAACTCCTGACCCCAAGTGACCCCCGTACCGGGACTACAAGCATGTGCTTTCCCCTGGCTCTTCTCCTTCTTCCTCTTCCCCCCTCCCCTTCTCCCTCCTCCTCTCCCCCTTTTAATAGTTATTAATGCATGCGTATCCATCCTGCAAAGTCATGGCTTTCACCGTGTTCATATGCCGAGTGCTGACCGTTACCCACCTTCCCACTGCCCCTCCTCACCCCCTGCTCTCCTTCCTCTTCCCGATCAGTCCCTCCTCTATTGCCTTATCATCTTTTTTCTCTCTAGATTCCACATATGAGAAAAAACACGTGATACTCGTCTTTCTGAGTCTGGCTTATTTCAGATGATGGCTCGTTCCACCCATTTTCCTGCAATTATATATATTTATAGATAATATTTTATACAATATTTTTTATATTTTTATATTTATTTATATAGTATACGATGTAACATCATATTCACATACAATATATAACACATCAATATATTATTTTATAGTATACAATAACACATTAGAATTAATATTATACAGTAAATACATATTAAATTATATATACTATTATATATCAATGTGTAAAATGTAGGCCGGGTGTGGTGGCACACGCCTGTAATCCCAGCACTCGGGAGGCTGAGGCAGCAGGATCGCTGTGAGTTCGAGACCAGCCTGGGCTACATAGTGAGTTCCAGGTCAGTCTCAACTACGTAGTGAGACCCTGTCTCAAAAAAAAAAATGTACAGTGTATAATATATATATTACATTTTCTTTGTCCATTAATCTCTTGTTGGGCATCTAGGCTGACTCAAAAAGTAACCCTAGAACTGCCATAAGACCCAGTTGTCCACTCCTGTGTATGTACTCAGAGGAATCAGTCAGCACACAGTAGGCACCTGCGTACCCTTGTTTACTGTGGTGCTGCTACTCCCAGCAGCCAAGATGTGGACTCAGCCCACTGCTTCTGTAAGCAGAACTTTTTTCTCTGACATTTTCCAATGTTTGTGATGTTGCAGTTATTTAAAATAATCCAGTTGTTTAAAAGGGTGGTGTGAGATACTTTGAACTCTTTGTTTTACTTTGGGCCAGTGTTGGAAGATGTATAGATAAATTAAGCATATTAAAAAAGAGTCTCCAGGGTAGGGGATGCAGCTAAGCAGAAGAGCATTTTTCTAGCATTCAGGAGATGTTGGCTTCAATACCCAGTGCTGCAAAGAGAAGAAAGGGATGGGAGGAGGGAGGAGAGAGGTCGAGAGAGAGCGGGAGAGAGAGAGAGAGAGAGAGAGAGAGAGAGAGCCCCCAAAGACTGGCAGCTGTTTCTTTACTCTCTAGGATTGTGTCAGGCAAAGTCCTAATGTAAAAGTGATGGATGCATCATGTTTTTCCTTCTCTCTAAGGCAGAGGGCCATTCCAGTTCCTATGTAGCACTTTTCTGCTGTCATTTCCTTGTCCCAGAGCCTAACGTGGCGCCTTTGGGTATCTGTGATTTATGGGACAGGGAATAAAAAAGAACGTGGGCATGTTCCCATCAACACTGTCTTCCCTCCCAGAATGAGAGTCGCCATTTCCTGCCTTCCTACCTTTGTGGAGAGTTGACAGTGTTCAGCACTCACTTCCCAATAGCCCAGAAGGAAAGAAAATGATAACGATACTGACAATACAAAGCATTTAACTGCTTTCAAATCACCTCACATATAGCAATTCCCTGGGATCTCCCGGCAGACCTCTGAGACCTGGAGTAGAGGGAATGCTGTTATTCCCATTCCATAGAAACAGGCTGTTCCTGTGAGCGGTTCATTCCAGATTTTATCCCTAGTGAATTACAAGCGAGATCTGAACGCAGATCTACTGACCTCCAATTGGGGGCTTGTTCTCTTGGTCACGGTAACCTCTCCGGGCTCAAGAGCTGAGACCTCCCAGGCCAGCCAACTCCTCCCTCCCCGGAGTCTCCACTGTCCTCTCACCACCACAAGTCCCCTTTCCCCCAGCCACAGTCAGGCCTTTGTGGGGCACCTGTTCCCGGCACCTCCTTCCTGCACGGCTGCTGCCCCTGCCACTCCCGGCCCCGTCCTATCTTGTGCTACTTCCTAAAAGTTCCTCAAATTAATTTTGTCTCTCAGCTAAATAGGAAATTTTCTCATGGAAAGGACAGTGCCTTAGGCTTCCATGGAAAAAACCCTGCCGGTGTGCTTGGTTGGGAACTGGTTGTTAAGCTTTCTGGATTTTGAGAGCTGGTTGCCTTGACATTGGTACCTTGAAATCAGCCATGGTGAGAGCATTTATGACAATGGAAATCGGCGAATCAGTCCTGTCCCTTCCTGCCGCTTTTGGAGAGGTGGTTAGTAAGCATTTATCAGTATATTGCTGGCTTAGGCTGAAAATTCTAATTATTAAGAAAAAATGACACCATGCTCTCTTTAGTTATAATTAATGAGACAAAGGAGATAACAATTACACCTTTGTTTTTCTCCAGAGAAATTCTTCTGCCCTTGGGCTTACACCCCTGTCCCGAGAGGTGCTCTTTGAGGATCTATATGTTTACATGCGTGCTCAGGTGTAGGAGCCAGAAGCCAGAGGGTTAAAGCCCCAGACTCTGAATGGTATAGACAGAGAATGATTGCATTGTCATGAGATTTTCTTTGGGGGCAGCAAATGAAGCCTCATCTTCACTGGACTAACTGATGAGGTGACTGTTTCCAAGCAGAGAGACTTGACCAGCATAGCAGATGCTGGAGAGAGAGACAGCAGGGAAGAGGCTGTGGTTTCCCCTGGGAGCAGATGGAGGCCATGGGATTTTGACTGGGACTTTGAGTGTATTCGTGTCCTCTGAAAGAACAGCACACATTTTCCTTCTTTGTGTTCCTCAGATGCTCTGCATGGCTCTGTGAGAGACCTCAGTGGTAGCCTCCTTGTGGGCCCTGGTACTCGACAGGTTAAGGGTCAGCTCCTTGACTCAGAGAGAAGGGACAGGAAACCACTGAATCAGGCGCTGAAGGCCTGCTATTCTCAGGGTGGGCATCTGAGAAATCAGCAGGAAGGGTGCTCATTGTGGAGATGGCCTCTTCATGGCTGCATCGCAGAGAAAGCTCTGTTTTCTCAGCACTTGGCCCCGTTTTAAATACAGTGATCAGTTTAGGGTAAGGCTGAGCCAAAATACGATTCCTCAGCTATGTCCATTTTCCATTTGGTCTGAAGGAATCAGGGGATGGCTTGTAAGAAGACATCCAAGCATGAAATAGTTTGTATATGATTACTGAAACCTTTGATTCAAAATAACCTGAATGTGTAAGCCACAGTTTCTCTCTTCTTTCTCCAGTTCCGACTGTGGGGGATTCTGGCAGGACAGTGACTGTAAAATCGCAATATACTTTCTACTCTTTGTGTCTTAAATACTGCCTCCTGAACAGACTTGCTCCATTCATGAGAAAGCTAATTGCATCCAAACTGCTCTTTTCTCCTAAGACTTCTATTCATCCTCCCCAAGGATAGTGATACCATTTTCCAAATAATTTTTCCACTCTCTCTGTCACCAGTCCAGGAAGCCACAGTGGCCCTCAGCTGCTCAAACAGCCTATGCTGTTTCTGAAGCATTCAAGCTTTTCTCCTCCACTCTCATCCCTAGTCTCCCCACCGTGTTCCTATACTTTGCCCCACATGGGGGATTGCAGAGCCCTGGTCCAGTGAATGCCATTCTTAGTTTCCTTCCCAGGACTGCTTCTGTCCTGCGTACAACCTTGTCCAACTCTTAAGGTCTACACCCTCTCCAGTCCTCACTCAGCACACAAAGCAGTGCAGGGCCTTCCCAATTCGTGGGTAAATGTGTTATTTGAGCTATGGGCTGGAAGTCAGGGGACACAAGTTCTAATCTTCACCATGTAACTAACTAGCAGTTTAACTAGCTCCTCTGTGCCTAAATTCTTCCTCTGTGAAGTCTCACAGGATTGAGATGAATTCAAGAGAGCATCATTGTATAAAGGAGTACTTGTCAATGGCATCTGTGGTGCGGTCAGATTTACTAGTGTGGCTCCGTTCTGCCTAGGGAATGTGGGAGAGCAGCAGAGAGCCAGCGATACCAGAGGAAGCAAAGTGTCAACCACCTAGCTGCACAACTGGAAAAATACTGGCACCCTTAAGACAGGCTCAGTGCCTGCAGCAGATGTCACCGTCTCCACAGAGTCGGGTGTCTGTGGAGACACAGACTGGAGACTGCTAACCCTGCTGTGGCCTGTTCGGACATGAACATGTGTGTAAAGGTGTGTGTGTGTGTGAACATGCACATGTGTATAGCGATGTGTGTGGTAGACATGTGTGAGTGTGTAAGCACATGGGTAGAGACGTGAATGTGGGGCCAATAATCACATGGGGGAGTGCACATGTGCATTTGTGCATGTGTGTCTTTGTGCACATGTGTGTAAGCATGTGTGTTTCTTTTTTTATAACATTGATTTCGGGGGGAAACTTCTTATTCTGTAATTTGGAGTTAAGAAACTGTGTTTGGTATTGTTTGTCTTTTTTATTCGACTACTTATCCTGACTAGAGCTTTCATTATGCTTCCCTCATTGAAAAACCATCAGCCCTCTGTAGCCATGAGGAAAGGGGAAGCATGCCTAAGACAGTCTACTAGTCATTCTTATTTTTGGTACTGGGGATCAAACTCGGGACCTTGCACTTTCGAGGCAGGCGGTGGAACCACTGAGCTAAATCGCCGGCCCGTACTTATTCTTAAACTTTACCTGATGCATTGTTTTTTCTTATTGCTCCCCCAAATTTCAGAGTGTCTAGTGGCCAGCCTCCTTGAAAAGGAAGGGATTTAATCATCTCCTCTCACTCTGGCAGAGGCATGACTGAACAGCTGACTGCCTTATGTGCCGATAAGACAAATGCCACCAGAAGCCTGAAAAATTCAGACTTCATTCAGCACCCAAGGGCTGAGCATTGACTTGAGAGCCGTAGCTCAGAGTTGTGGGGCAGCGGTCAGGAGTGCGGGCACTGCAGTCGGCTGGACTTAGATTCAAGTCCCCACCCTGATACTTTCTCACTGTGCGGCTTTAGAAAAGCTACTTTGCCTAACTTCATCTTTAAGTTGCCCACAGGAGCAGTAGATGCAGCGTGGGAGAACCGCGAAGTCTAAGAACAGAAGGTGCGTGAAATGCCTGTCACATGCACATTAGCCTTATCCTCAGGTATATCAGGAAATCATGCATTTCCTTGCCTTTTGACTCCAAACAAAGATAAAAGTCTGGGGATTCTGTGAAGGCCTCATGTGGCTCTTCTCACTTAAGCAGTGGCTTAGTCCAAAGCAAGTCATGCCTCCTGTCCACCTTCTTGGATTGCAGACCAATGGCTGGCTGAGTGGTACCCCTGTTACCCTCCTCCTCACATCACTACAACTTTGATTTTTTTTCTCCAAACTTCTAGATGTTTTTTAACCACTTCCTTATGGTTTCCATGCTCAGCCCATACAGGTTAGGGGGAAATGCTAGATATCATCAAGAACTTTGATTTCCTTGTCATGATCATGAAGGAATAGCACGCTTTCCTTTCCCACTGAGGTGTACGTAAGGAGGAGTCAGTTGTCCCTTCTAAGAGTGCTATGGAAGGAGATGTAGGGCCATGTGTAACCTCTGGTTCACCCCTTTCCGGTAAGGCTACCAAATGTATTGCAGGACTCAGTTAAATCTGTACATTTTTCACTCACTGAATTCAGCAACTTTGCACCAGGCACTCCCTGCAGGCACCGCGATTGCTAGTTATTAAGTAGCCCGAGCCACCCACCTGTGCACTGCAGCTCCGCATATGCTGGAGTATGAAGCATAGATACCGGTGCCATAAACGTGGTACTTGGGGTCTCGGCATCCCGCTGGACACTTCACAATGAACTCGGGATTGATTATCTTTCCAGCTTTGACATCACAGTCGATCTGAGGCACAGCTGGGAATGCAGAATGAAGCCAAAATTATACTTTGTGATACGAGCTTATATAAGAGGGGACTCTATTAGGTCATAAGTATTCATTTACTTAATCCCTGGAAGTCAGAACCTAAGCTAATCCCGCACCCCTTCCTGATAACGAGGGCCAAGATGTAATTAGGGCGTTCCTGAGGCCAAAAGAGCAACAAAGACCATCCATTGCCTTTAACCTGCTGAAGGTGAAAACAGAAAGCCGATTCTGTGCTTATTTGGACAATTAATTAAGGAAGAGAACTCTGGGAAAAGAGCCACCTCCAGTGATCTGAAATAATCCTGGGTCAATGGCAGGAGGTCACTGGTTTTTCAGATGTTGTGCTCCTAGCCCAGGAAGAGAAAGCTGTCAGACAGCTTTACAGGAGGAGGGGAAACTGTTCTAGAGAGGGCAAAGAAGGGGAGCAGAGATCTTGGCCACAGAGATGCTTGGGACAAAATGACCTGCTGCTCAAAGGCTCCGGACCTGAGTCCGATGTGAGGTAGTGCAGTGGTGGGCTGAGCCCAGTTCAGGAAGCCAGAGGGCTTGTGCATTGTACAGCAGGTGGGACACAAGGGAAGGTTTTTGGATGGGGCAAATACAATGAAAGTGACCTTTGTCATGGTCCCACAGGATCCTCTAGGCCAGTGGTGGTGAACCTTTTAGAGCTCTCACTGATAACAAGCAGCTGGCTGTGGCACGTGTGCCGGAGGTTCGCAACTGCTACTCTGGCCCTAGGACACTAGAAGAGCCATATTTTCTCATCTGCCTCAACCCTTGGTAGAAGGCCAGGAACTCCTCTGCCAAGCACCCAGGGAAGTTTATCAATGCCTTTGTCCCTCCTCTCTTTCTTGCTTGCTTTCCTACCATTGCTGTAGGTTATTTCTATCCCCAATAGGTAGGTTTTCTGGAGCTGAGAGTTCCCCTGGGGATAAGGTAGAGCATACACAGTACTGACAGTATTTATAAAGAGGGGTGGGTGGGGTGCAACTTCTTTGCAAAGACTTTTTCCTCTAATGGTCCTTCAGGAAAAGCTTGCCTAGAGTACAGTCGTGTGCCCTTCAAGCTGGGAATGTATTCAGTTCTGAGCCCTCCTCTTCGGAAGGGTCTGTGAAACAAGAGTGCAGTCCAGACCAGCAAGCTCGGGAGGAGGCTAGAAACCACTAAGTGGGAGCGGTGGTTGTCGGAAATGGCTCATTTCACCATAGAAGAGCTGGAAGTTGGAGGCGAGGGTTAGTTGTCTTCACATGTAGGACTGCTGTGTGCCAGAGAGCTAAGCTAGAACTTAAGAGGTAAACTTCCCATAGAGGCAAATTTTGCCAAAACTTTCTAGGAATTGACATCCGTGGAGGAATGGGCTGCCTCATGGAGCCGTGAATGGGCTGCGAGTGGAAATGTGTGAGAAGAATAGTTAGAGAGGGGATTTCTGCACTGGGTAGGAGGTAGAAACAAAACCCTTCCCAGGGCTAAGAATTTGATTACACACACAAGTCCAGGAGCTCTGCCAGCCTACCCACCCTCTGAGTTACCAAGATGGTCTCCGTGTTGTTAATGGCTTCCAGCTGTCTCCAAACACACATGCATGCACACCCTCCCTCTTTAGCCCTTATGTTCCTAAATGAGCAGAGTTATATTTCATCCAGGTTGGAGAGGGAACGGAAGTCAGAATTGCTCCTTTCTTACTCATCTCTCCCAGGCAAGCTTTGCGGCTCAGGCTGAGGCCAGTATGATCTCCTCTTGGGGCCGAGTTTGATCACATGCTCAAGCAGCCTGTGGTCTACATTAAGAAGTAGAGGCCAGGATTTAGCTCAGTGGTGCTATGCCTAGAGCACCATGCTTAGAAGAGTTGGTTTCATTCTCCTCAAAGATTGTCTCCTCACCAAAGTTATTTATTTCCTTTTGTTCATTTAAAGTTTGGTACTCAAGGCTGAGTTTACTATTTTGAGTCTCCAAGTATGTTTTTGAAGGCAATTTTTGGCTTTCCTCCAATTTCTGGTCTCTCCTAAAATTTGCTAATTATCTGATCCCTGGATGTAAGTGAATGTCTTCAATTCTCCTTTCTTCCTTAAATCACTTGCCTACTACCGCAGGCATCTCCTCCTTTAGATGTAAAGACAATGAAAGACTTCTTTTTGGTCCTCAGTACTTTGAGGTAGGAGGTGATAAATTCTGTGAAATGGGATTAAATTTTGGTGAGACTTCAGCACTCTTGAGATTCAGGATCTCCTGGCAGCCCAACCAGATCTTTGGTTGAGTCAATGAGACTAAATCTGGAAACTTATTGTATAAGCATTACACACTGACCCAATGTGTTGAAAGATTTCAGCTATACGTAGTTCATGCAGTAGGATTTTCCATGAAATAGCTGATTTAAAAATGAAATGGAAAATGCCACATGGGGATATTTTGCACCCTGCTAATCAGTTTTCCCCTTCCTTTGAGGGGACATTTGGGTTTTGTTTGCTTGCTTTTCCTGTTGTTGTTGTTGTTGCTGTTATTGTTGTTCTGAGGCATAGGAAATATTTTAAGTCACGTTTGCTTTATCTGTACCCAGCGGGATTAGCAAAATCAGTGGATTAGCTCATTAATTTATCCCACAGGGTGAAACAAATAAAATCAAACACATATGCTCATGAACTCTGGAAAAACAACAAGCAACGACAAAGTGTGGGTGAAGGTCAACTATTTGTTAAACTTGTCCAGAAAATTAAGCCGGAGAGAGTGAACTAATTAAATTCAGCAGAGTCATTGCCAAAATCATTGCAAAGCGTAGTCTGTGTCCAGCCAGGAAAAGTAGCCATTTGTATATTTCTGACAGCTCTTCTTTAAGTACTGCATATGAAAACCATGGCTTATTTCCCCCTTACTTGTGAGGTAGTTTGCTTTCTTGTAACCTTGAAGAATCTTCCATCACTATTCAGGCACAGATGAAATGATTTACCTTTGGGTTTCCTTTGAATGGTTTTGAATTATTCAATGCTTACAGATTCAGTTTTCCTTCTTCTCTCTCTTTGGTTGTTTTCTTATTTACCTTCCCCCTCCTCTGGATTTTATCCACCAAATACAGAAAACTGACTTCTTTAAGAGGACAGCGGTAGCTCGAGAAGCACCACCTTCAGGTGTGACATTAGGCAAATGCCCAGTCCACATTTGGAGGGAAAGTTGCATCTCCACTGCTAACCACAGGTGAGAACTTCTTTATATGTTCTGGAATAGTTGAATCCCCCCAAACACCAGTAGAAAGCAAGACACAAGCTTCTTCTATTCCATCCTGAGTGGACAGTTGCTGGTGGCAATGAGGAAGACCCTGGGCTGAGGCTCCAAGGACCAGGGGAGCCTAGACCTGCTCTGTGGAACCTTCTCAGAAGCTTGCAGTTGGCTTCTCCCTCTGTGTCCTCACCCGCTCCTCCAGTAAGGTTTCCTTACTTGTCCCTTTCAAGCCACAGCTTACATCTGAGTGTCTCAGTATCTGTCAAGGGCTCCTCCCCACGGCCTTTGGAATCAGCCACTTGTAAACATCAGACGGTCAGGCCTGTGGGGCTACCTTAGTATGTTGGCCTCTGGACGCATGTGTCCACTGTATTGGTCTCACAGTGTTCTTGGGCAAAAGGTCTCATCTCAGAACAGAAAACTAACATTGCTAAGCCACTATTTTAATACACAATTAGACTCTCAAGGGCAGAACTTCAAATGTTTCTGCTGTGGGTTGGGTCTTGGGCCCAGGATAGTAAATGTGATTATTGGGTGATGTCACATACAATAGTCCAATGTGTACCAGGCCAAATCAAAATGTATACTCTTCTTATTATTTTGCCATTCATCTTTTCTTCTTCTTCTTCTTCTTTTTTTTTTTTTTTTTTTTTTGGTATTAGGGTTCGAACTTGGGACATTGTGCTTAAAAGGAAGGCAGCAGAACCACTGAGCTAAATCCCTGGCCCTGCTGTTCGTCTTTGCAGTGATCTCAGGCAAGCCACAGTGCTTCTGGGAAAACTTTTTCTTTATTAATTAGAAGAAGCCCTTGTAAACTTTCTTGGTGGTTGTTAATGAGAAAGAATTATTACAACATAAAAGCATGAAAAGTTTTGATATTAAATTTAATTTTGTTGCATTGTGATATTTGTAAAATCCCATTTTAAGAGAATTATGCAAAAATTGTTCATTTAGTGAATTAAAAAGGAATACTAATTTGAATGCAAATGTATCCTTTTTGGTTCTGACACCCAGTGAACAGTTCACATAAATTCTTCCTTTATAATGACTTTTATTACAAAGAATTCCTGCAATTTTTCTAATAATTGTCTTTGATCATGTTGAGTTTTTTGCTCAGAAACTATCAATAGCTTATCGTTAACTTTAGGAAAAGTTAGAAAGTCCTTAACAACTTTCCAGAGTCCCTTGTACAGAATTTCTGGGCTTGCCCTACTGTCTTTGCTACTTCCTAAATGCATGTTGGCTTGGATTTTGGCTTGAATCACTGCTCACACCTAGAACTCTTTTTATTTCCATCTGTTCAAATGCTACGAATTTTTCAAAGACCTAGGTCTAGTGACATCTTCACTCATCTACCAGGATATGAACTCTACGAGGGCAAAGATTTGTCTGATTTGTTCACTGATGTTCAAGAGAACACCAAATAAATGAATGAAACCAATCCATTAGAAATTTCTGTCATTTTTATATCTAAATATGTTATCTCTCTCCCCCTACCTTGATGAAGTCACTGACGTTTTCTGCTTGGACTGTTAATACCACGCCCTACATATGCCCATCCTTTACCCCAATCTTTTTACTGTTGAACAGTGCCATGTTGCTTTAAAAAAAAAATGAATCAGATTTCATCATTCTCCTACCCAAAACTCCTCATTGGCTTCCTACTACCCTTAGAATAATGTCCTAACTCTTTAAGATGGTCTGAAGGATTTGGTCCCTCTACTCCCTCCTACTGAATCATCTTCCACTGCTAAATAGATTATGAAAACGTGCCAGTTAC